AAGTATGGTCTTTTGTATCTGTAGTAAACGAAACGAGGAAAGAAAGAAAAAAGAAAACGTAGAGGTAAGAGTCACAACACACATCTCACATGTGCTCCTGTACCCAAGCAAAATGGGATCTAGCTTAAGCTAGCTAAAAGGAACATTTACCTAGCTTGAGCTAGCTGATTGTTCCTCTTTAGCTAGCTTAAGCTAGATCCCATTTTGCTTGGGTACAGGAGCACATGTGAGATGTGTGTTGTGACTCTTACCTCTACGTTTTCTTTTTTCTTTCTTTCCTCGTTTCGTTTACTACAGATACAAAAGACCATACTTTTTGTTCTTCTCGTGAAACAGAGGTGACATTCTAAATAATCCACAATGACAACGGAAGTAATAAGTTCGACTACATCAAATGAAAAAGTGAGTTATAAGGTCTTCCGTTGGTTTTTCTGTAGCAAATTTGAAACAACTGGTATAATAAAATCAATAGGGAGGTGTATCCAAAGGTTCGGCTATTATCACGGGAGCAGGTCGAGGCATGTAAGTAATAAACAGCGTCTACGGTGCGTCGTTCCGTACATTTTCTTCTCGTTCTATCTCGCCTTAGAGGAAAGGCAATTGCTCTTCGCCTTGCTCGAGATGGCTTTGATATTTGTGTAAATGATACTGATGCTAGCCTCGTAGATCAGGTAATAGCTGCCCTTTCTCTTTCTCTTGATAACTCTGCATAAATACTACCAGGTTGTGAAAGAAATCGAACAGCTGGGCAGAACAGCCATTGACTGCATAGCCGATGTAAGTGATCGTGCTGCAGTCGATAACCTCGTAGAAAAGAGTGTAGCTGCTCTTGGCCCACTGACAGTGATGGTAGCCAATGCCGGCATAACTCAACCAAAACCTTTACTCGAGTTAACCGATGCTGATATACGACGAATATTCGATGTCAATGTGATTGGGGTGTACAACTGCTACGCGAGTGCTGCTAAACAAATGATCAAACAGGGAACACCTGGCAAGATAATTGGAGGTGCAAGGTAATTATTTTAGGTTAATATAGCGGACGGTCTCCACTTCTGGAAAAATTCAGAATATTTTTTTATATGAGAGGAGATACATAGTTTTTTTGGGTAAAATGTTCTAGACTATTTTTGTGGGATGGGGTCCACGGTTTTTCCAAATTTTTGATCTTTTTTCTAAAAACACAATGGGCACTACTTCATAGAAAAAGGTTCGGATTCTTATTCGCATTTTCTCGGATATTATTTCTTCCGAAGATTTATTGAAACTTCTAAGTTTGTTAATTAAACTTCTCTCTCTCCCTGTTAATAGCATAGCAGCCTTCAAGGCCCCTGCAGGGATGGGGCATTATGGAGCTTCAAAGTTTGCCGTGCGAGGGTGGACACAAGCTTTTGCACAAGAACTTGGAAAACACAATATTACAGTTACTGCTTATGCACCAGGCCTCGTTGACACAGAGATATGGAATGTTAACAGCAAAGAAGCCATATTCAAGAAGTGTTCCGATGAAATGATTGCTCTCAAGCGAATAGCTATGCCGGAAGATGTGGCCAAGTTCGTTTCATTTCTTGCTAGCACTGATTCAGATTATATTACTGGCCAGACGATTGCTGTCGATGGAGGAATTATTTACAACTGAGAATATGTCCTGCAAACTATTTATTTGTACCGTCTGAATTAATATGTTTAAATAAAAGCTTTCATAGAAAACGGATTTTTCATATGGAGTTGGGAATAAAAAAAAGAGCAGGGAATCGGGCTTGAATTCATATTGCAGATAAAGGGGTTCGAAAGAGGAATTTCGAAATATTTTCAAGTACGAGAAGTACTTTGTCATTGCACGATAGTCTCTGAAGCTAACAGCTAAGTTTCCCGATTTTTGAAAACATACTGATCAATCCATCAGAACTGTATCAAACAATCTGGATAGTGTTTGTATTTTCTCATAAGTCTGAAAGTGCATGAAAGTTCTGCCCAGTGCTTGATATCAACCTAACCTACAAAATGGAGTTCTGAAATCATATTTGAAGTTCTTGCGCAAAAAGACCTCAAATTATTGTCGTATATTATTGTTTGGATCGGTAATTCGTGAAATAACTCAGCACTGCATTGAATGAAGGTTAGCCTGGTTACCACATCTCATTTTTGAGTTTGTGTTTAGAAAAGCGTCCTATCGGACTTTTTATCATTATTTGAAGGAAATTCAACCTGATTAACGACACTAGCAATGCGAGAGGAGCAGGAAACTCTCTACAGAAAAATCGAAAGATTGGATCTATTGATCAGACTGACTTTTATTCTGTGTATAGTTCAGGTTTACTCACAAAGGACTTGTCGGAATAATAATAATAAACCTTAGTATTTAAAACCCTGTCTGTGTGCAAGGAATCCGTTTATCATATATCAAAACTTACATTTAAGAAAGTTTGTGTAGGTTTAGATCAGCCGCTGACCAGGCGGGATAGGAGGCCAAGAACTTTTTCTAGAAGAAGGACATTTACCAAACTTTATATTACACTTAAACACTCTTGAAATGAGTTCTCTTGAAATATGAGAAGAAAACCAAATGCACGCACTTCCACATTCTCATACAGTTTCACTGGTCAAGTTAACATATTGATTCAGCGCTTTTTTGTAGCCATCTTTGTACAAAGTTGTGATGTTGCATATTCGTTAATGCAGCCAAGAGTGTCCGAGTTTTTGATTTTTCATTATTTTGCAAAATTCTATCCACTTTTCATGAATTTTGGCCATAACTCCATAAATATGGTAGAATTTTTCGAGGATTGGAGGTTTTTGTTATTTTTAGTTCACATTTTCCCAGAAATTATGGAGTCACTGACCAAAATTCATACAAATTCGCAAAAACTGGACATTGGTAAGACTATTAAAACTTCAAAAGTTTTGTAAAACACAGTCACAGAACTGTGTCCCAATAGGGGACGGATAGGGGTGGGGTCTGGTCCTTACTGCAAGAAACTTATCTTTTTTTTAGTTTTCTGTGGGTTCCACAATACGATACCAGTAGGGGACGAACTGTCTTTAATAGGGGACGGATCGCTGACGATAGGTGGCGACTTTGCAACTTTCCAACTTTTCAATCGTCTCAATCCTCGAATGCTGCTCGGAAATATATGTGATGAAACTTTGCAACTTTTCCATCCTCTCAATCCTCGAATGTTGCTCGGAAATACATAAACTAAAAATATTTCAACGCGTTTGGATAATTTCTAACTTTAACGCCTTAAAAATTCAATGCTTTTCAACGCGTTAAAATTTGTTAATATATTCAAATGCATTAAAGTTATTTAATTCATGGAAATACGTTAAACTTTGACGAATTTGAATACCTTCATGTCTAACCATAGCACGAGAAGGAGCCAATCTTTTGAAAAGCTCTTAAGTCCTTTATGGTACTTCTAATTGAATAGAAAGGACCATCCTAGACGAAACTTTTTGAGAGGAATCGAATGGTGATGTCAGAAAGAGTTCAAAATACTTTTCTATAGAATGCGGATACTATTTTTGTTTGAAAAGCGTTAATGCGTTCACGTGTATCCATCTTTAATGCGTGTGATGACGTTAGACCGTTCTTAAAGCCTGAGAACGTATTGAACGGACGAAGAAACTTTGTAATGCATTCGAGTGCGTTAAATAATTTTGTACATTTGAATGCATTAACTTCAAATGCGTGTGAACGTAGCAGATTAATCTGAATACATATAAACAGTTAAATGGGTGACAAGTCTTTTTATACATTGGAACGCGTTAAGAATGTTAAGAAGTTTAAATGCGTTCGTTAATACGACATCTGAAGGTGTTGAATTTGTAAAAATGCATTAGAAAAGTTAAAAAATGTAAGATTCCCAAATACGTTAACTTTGAAGGCGTATGAAGGCGTTAATATTTTTTTATTCATTCAATGAGTTTAGACGTATTAAAGGTACAAAATGCCGATATTAATGAGTTCAAAGAAAATTTTTGATATAAAAAAATTCACTGGGTTGTATATGGATCTCAATCTACAAGCGTTTCAGCTCTATCTTGTAATAAACACCACAAACTCACAAACTTCTAAAATTGATGAAGAAAACTTCATGCTATCTTTTTTCTTCAGTTCTTTGAAAAGTACTAAAATGATGAAAGCAGAAATTTTTATTTTCCAGTGTAATTTAAGAGACGTGCTGAAGACATAAATTCTTTCTATTTAATCAACAGATTTGTTCAATCACCATGCGCTCAAGTAGAGATAAAAAACCTACTCATTTTTCACAATACAATTAGGGACTTCTATCCTATGATACCCATGAGGCAAAGTGCCTTAAACAAAAATTTCAGAGGTAACTTTTTTAAATTTTGGGAGATTGAGGCTGGAAAATAATGAATTAGAGAAGAAAAGAGACAGAAAACATGAGGGAGTACTCAAAAGAACGAATAGTTCTTTATCAGTCGTTGTAATCAAGTTTGGAAGGAGGATACTTGGTGCTTGTAGAAGTTCAGACGACATAAAGGGAGAGGATCCGTTATATATGTTTCAGCCAAATAATTCATATTATTAATTGGTGATCTACATCTTTTTAGAAACGAAAAAATAACGATGCACAAAATCCGTTGCATATGTAGTACCGATTGTTGAACTAAAGAAGCTATTGAAAACTGATTAACAGACAGTTTGAAGTGTTTGGTCACATTTTCGTATTGACGAGAAACAAGTATAAACGGTTTTTGCTAGATTACCTTAAAAAAGAAAAACTTATCTTACAGTTATTTCATATCTATATTGAATCATCGAACTGGCGCTGTTTATGTCAACGATTTTATCCACCATAATAGCCAATATCGAAACTTATAGACTGAAATATAAGCAAGAAAATAACTTATACTTCAGTTAGACTATTTAATTAGCAAGTTATTAAAGAATGGATAAATTTTGAAAAATGTTAGAGAAAGGTATCTCGAAAGACACTGTGTCAATTGTAACAGCAAAAACTGGAAATGACGTCGGGACAGTATCGCATATTAATGCACGTGTCTGTCATCCTTCTCAAGGTGCCATTTTATTGCCATCCACAATCGGTATTCCAAATGTTAAGGATCCGAATCCCGATAACAGAGTACGCGATCCAAGATTACCTTGGTAAATTAACAGACATATCGAATAGTGGGGGAATAAAACAAATATGGAAATTTGAAACTTTTCAGGGCACCAGCAGTAACAATATCCGGCAGAACAGATAAACCATTTGGTACTTTTTTTCTCTCTGAGAATTTTAAGTATTGTTAAACTGTGTAGTGGGTGCTTTTCTAAATTTGGATAGGGAATGAAGTCTGTTTATCGTTATTTCTGCTTGTAGTAACACCACAATATCAAAAGAAAGCAGCAGAAACTCAAAATAAGAGTAATATTGTACTTGCCAATACAAAAATACAAATGAATTTCGATTGGAGCCATGTCACAAGACTAGGAAATGACAAGAGTAAAATTGCAATTTCGTTTATACCACACAATGGTAAATACTTTAGATTGCTTCACCTTTTCTAAGTAGTAAATGTTCTGTTTATTTTTAGTTTTACCAACAAGAACAGCAGTGACTGCTCGTGCTGGTTAGAAACAACAACAATCCGTCAACCGACATTTGAGTGACCGACACTTGAGCGACGCCGACATTTGAGCGAACAACATTACCGCGAACAGGATCCCAACTCTTCTACGAATTTTTCGTAGTACACATTTGGGTATTTTTGGCAATGTGTCATGGGAGAGTGAGTTCGAAAAGCAGTTTCACACAAAACATATTTTCATCATGTGAAACTGTACATCTGTAACTGGATCACATAATGACTATTCACCACATAACTTCACTCAGGTTTCATGTCATTCGCGGAAATGTCGGTCTCTCAAGTGTCAACGTTCAAATGTCGGTCACTCAAACGTCGGTTAATCACAACAATCAAACAAAAAGTTTAAATATTTTTGTTGTTTAATAAAGTTTTGGTTTTCTTTTAGGTCCAGGACCCACATCGTATCAAAAATATCGAAATAATTTAACACGAATGGGCGAAGAATTCATTTATATTCAAATGCCTCGTGTACGAATTAGTCCACTTATTGGACCAAAAATCATGAGGGAAAGACGATATAGAAATGCAACGACTAATGATCAACATGCATTACCATCAAACGGTACGAAACCATTTTGGAATACCATTGGAACAAAAACACTCAATTCGAGATTACCAAATGCACCGGTGATTAGTATGCACGAACGTATGTACACCTGTTAACTATTCTTTGTTTTTTTCTTGTACTCTAAGAATTCTACTTCTTTTTGTTTCAGGTCACAATATGACATGTAATACTCGTTTTCACCTTCATAGGAATAAACTTTATTCATATTTTAAATACAAACACATACCTAGGTTTAAACTTGCGTTCCCTCTTATGTCTTAACCAACAAATAGTAGAGGCTCGGTTTTTTTTTTCCATTCATATGCTTGGTGATTTTTAGATGTTGACTGTTAGTATAAGACGGCATGACTTCGTAGTTATGTTGAACGTTACTTCTAATCTAGAACATTGTCATACATATTCATCATTAGTCGTATGATATATCGCTAATTTCAACATTAAAAGATTCTTTCTTATGGATATTTTGTTATTATAGTTGATATGATAGAAAAAAAGAATAAATTAAAGATTGCTCCAATACCGATGCTTCACGGACCAGATGATAACAAAGCATATAAACTACCAGGAACCGGCGAAATTACAATAGCGTCAAGGTATAATCCAAAATCAGCACAACAAGTTGGACAAGGACCAGCATTTGTCGAACGAAGCAAAATCGACAAAGGGGTACTGTTTTGCTTTCTGCTACCGAAGATTGTAGGCTTTCCTTTGTAAAAACTCATAAATCTTCTTTGCAAATCAAAAATTCAAATAACAGAGCTGTGTCAGTCTCTCTCTAGACACATATTTTAACTTCAATTTGAAAGAAATTTGAAGATACTGTTATCGAGTCTGGACGAGCAAATTTATAAAAAACTCATACTTACTTTACAGACGTATAGACTATTCGATCACATGCTTATGGCAGTATCAATTTTTGATGAAAAATTGATAACGGGTACGCCAGGATAAATGTCCCTCTACGTATTTTCTATTTTTCTCGTGTTCCTTTAGGACCCTCAGGTTAGTGTTTATTTTAAAAGATGCGTCGCGAAATACTTTATAAAATCATACTTAAACTTTAGTTTCAGAACCTCGATCACGAAAACTACGGAAATTATACGAAAGACAAAAATAATGAAAACTTTCTGAATTTGATATTTTTTCGACTTGAACTTGTTTTTCTGCTGTTATTTCCGTAAAAAAGCGTAGCAAAAGTGAGAATACAGTTCTTTTTGTACTTTTGAATATGCTCTTTCTCTTGGTCTGTAAAAATATTTTTTTAGAGCAGATGGTGTGCTGGAGAATCAGGTTACAAAAATACGTCAAAAATTGACAGCCCCGCGTTTCCAACAAATGTGCCCAAGCAAGAAATGGAAAACACCAGTGAAGTTTTAATTTTGCAGTTAGGTAGAGAAGAGCAATCTTTTCTGATCAAAACAAAACAAACCCGATCGAAAAATCTTTTGTTTTGATGGAGTTATGAAACCTTTACTAAAAGCACCACTATACGCAGAATTTAAAAAATTAATGAAAAATTACATGGCAACAGATCGAAAAATCATGATTTCTCCATGGATTTTGATGTGAAAAAATTTTGAAGTGCAGCTCAAAGATAGAGCGAAGTTACCGCTACATAATGACTGATGCAAGTTTTCTTACTTTCAAAACGTTAACACAAGAAATCGTTTTTGATTTTGGAAAGTTTTCGTTTTTTTTTCGTCTATCGTATAATTTCCGTAGTTTTCCTGATTGAGGTTCTGAAACTGTTATAAAGTTTAAGTATGGTTTTGTAGAATATTTCGTGGCGCATCTTTTAAAAAAGCGCTAACCTTAGGGTCCTAAAGAAACACGAGAAAAATAGAAAATACATAGAGGGACATTTATCCTGGCGCACCCGTTATTTTACCTGAGAAACTTACTTGTTTATTTGCAAAAACTGGTCATTATTTTGTCATTGTTTTTAGTACGAGCGTATTCTCAAAAAAGCACCTGCATTTTCTATGGGCTCACGATGGTCACCATTTTCTCATACATACACCGTTGAATGCGTCGTCGATGATTAGCAACCAAATAACTCATGTTTTATGTGTCTTTCTCTGTATAACAGTAATCAATTCTTAATACTCTGTCAAGTTCATATAGATCTTAAAAAGAACAAATATATAAGTGTAGTTAACGATAAAGATTATTGTTGTTTTACACGTGACTAAAGGAAGGATTGAATTGACTAGAGGAAGAATTTTGTTGAATGTTATTTTATAAAGAATTTGATCTGGATTTCTTTTCACAGAGGAATACCGTTATTATTCACTACGTTTTATTTTGGTTATATAAATCTATTGTTCGGATATAAATTGTAACATGTTAAGAATCGGGAATCGGTACATATTTTTTTGTTAGAAATCATTTAAAGTCGATTGTTATTAGCGGAAACGATAAATGAGAATATAAACGTTAAATAGTTCTGGAAGCGTTAAACACTTTTTCTTTTGATCTTTAAAACTTGATTTTCTTATTTTTTTCAATTAATTACAAATACTTTTATTTAATATAAAAAGGTCTTTGTTATATAAAACAGGTGAATGTACAATTTAACTTTTTTTCCGTCTTTTCATTTGTTTTTTCATGATTGACAGAACGGTAAGAGAAAAAGTTCAAAAGCTTCGTTTTTAATAATAAGACTGATGATGATGATGGTATGACTTTAAAGTGACAAGCGCTCAGTTTACCTAGAAATAAATTTTAAAAAAAAGTCTGTGATCGTTTCTATTTCTACCATAACGGCAAGGGTTAAAAAACATGCACTAGTACCAATGCACAATAAAATATAAATAATTTGTATATATATATATATATTTATGATGAATGAATAAATAAAAATAAAATAAAATATGTCAAACATCTTAGATGTAATCTGACAAAAATTATAATTAAACAACAGAAATCGTTATTCAAATTATTACTGTTTCAAACTATACAAAATGCTAAATAATTATGAAAAGAAATTAGATAAGTTAAAAGGCATTACTGCTGAAACAGTTGTTCCCTCTTATGCCTTAGCAAACGAATAGTAGAGGCTCGTTTTATTTTTCCATTCATATGCTTGGTCATTTCTAGATGTTGACTCTCAGCAAAAGACGGCATGGCTTAGTAGTTATGTTGTTCGTCATGTACTTCAAACGTGTTGTATTCAAATCTCGACTCCAGGGCTGAGCCAGTCCCAGAGGATGCTGAGTCAGAGTTCAAGTCATGAAGCAAGCAAGCCAAGTTCAAGTCCTGAGTCCATTTCGAGTCTAATATTTTTTCAAATTTTTTTGATTGTCGTTATTTAAATTTCTTTTATCTCCCGTGCCGCATAACACATTTTTTAAGCATAATTTTGAAAGAGAGTAACACATATGCGTCCACATATCCCATACTAATATTGAAAAAATGCAAATTTCTCTGTTCATTTATGTAAAAAGTTGAATCGATCGGACCCGAAATTACAAAAAGTCAAGTTCGAGTACGAGTCGTTCAAATAAATCTCCAGACCACGTCTGAGTTCACCGAAAAATCTTCCAGTTTTAACTTGGACTCGGCCAGCCCTGCTCTGTTACGCCAGATAATGTACTAATGTTGAGCAAGTTACTTAGGTTTTCATGTTTAGGGTCATCCGTCCGACAGCATACGCATTACGTTGTGATGTACAATACAGTTCGATGGCTAGTTCGTGTACCCGGAAAGCTAGCACGTGGTTAGTCGAGTGTGTACGGGAA